CAATGGTCCGTGCGTATAACACTATCTGCCCCCTCTAGGTAGCACCTCCACACCTTATATGCACGGATGATCGTGAGCGCCTCTTTGTCGTGAATCAGATAGTTCAACTCTGCTCCCCTAAGCTTACGCGACTCTTATGCAATCGGCTACAACCCGCGTCCCTAGTTCTGAAGAAGCATTGCTTCTATGGCCTGATCTAAAGCGTCGGTCACTACGATGTACGGGCGAGTAGGATCAGGGTATGACAGTGTCGGTGAAGACGTGAGCGACTGTTTCATCTGCTAAAAGGCCTACTGCTGCGCTGGACCCCAAACAAAATCTACGCCCTTCTGAAGTAGGTCGGCGAGTGGACTAGCGATCGATTCGTAACCCTGAATGAAACGACGGTAATTGTTTGCGAATCCGAGAAAGCTCTGCAACTCCTTGACTAAGGTTGGAGCTACCCAATTCTGTACTGCTGCGATCTTCTTCGGGTCGGTCCTAATGCCACTAGCAGATACGACGTGACCTAGAAACTCGGCCTTGGGGAGGAAAAACTCGCACTTCGACTGCTTAGAGTACAACTGCTCCTTCTGCAAGACCTCAAAGACCTTGTGCAAATATAGCACATACTCCTCTTTCGTCTTGGAGAAGATCAGGATGTCGTCTATGTAAACTACGACGAACGAACCTAGGAACTCGGAGGGGACGGTATTCATGAGCGTCTAAAACGTCGCTGGGGCGTTGGTCAAACCGAACGGCAGAACCCTAAACTCGTACAACCCCTACTTCGTATGAAACGCCGTCTTATGCTGGTCCTTTTGAACTACACAAATTTGGTGGTAACCCGAGCGAAGGTCCATCTTTAGAAATAGCACCTTGTACCGCATCTAGAAGATCCTCTAGTCTCGACATTGGGAATACGTTATTAACGGTGGCGACGTTCAGTGCGCGGTAGTCTATGCACATCCGTAACACCCCGTCTTTCTTAGGCACGAAAAGGATTGGTGCTTCTCAAGGCAATCTATGTGGCTGGATGGATCCATGTGAGAGAAAGTGCCTAACCTGCTGCGTCATCTCCTCCATCTATGCTGGAATCAACCTCCACTGCGGCTTTGCTACTGGCCTGCTACCCGGCTCCAACTCTATTCGATGGTCTACTGCTCGGCTGGTAGGTAACCCTAATAACAACTCATCATAAATGACGTCTGCGAACTCTACTAACAGTGCACTCACCTCAGCAGGAAGAGTCGCACTCTCACCAACTGCTGCACTCCCTCCTTTCCCCTCCTCAGCTTCCACCTACTCAAGGAAAATCGCCAAGATCCGTGCTGCTCGCTTCACCAGCTGCCACGCACGAACAACATAGATAATGGCTGTGGAGGATGTGGCCCCATCGCTCCACTGTGGCAGCTCCCGGTACTCGCCATCTACCTTGACGCTGCAGCTTCCTTGAGCCCAATCGAACTGAGTGCTTACCATGTGAAGTTTAGAACGATGAATGAGTGACTATGAAACAGATGGGTACAAAAATGACACCTAAAAGTGTTGTACCCCATAGTATCTACCCCACTATAGCCTACAAAGACTACAGCACATATACTTTGACACACCCCCATAGGCAAAGTGGGGGAGAACAAGTGACACAAGACCAGTCAAACAAAGCACAGCAAGCTCAGGGTGGATCACAACGTCACCACACATTCCGAGCACAATTTCAAAGGCCACAAGGCCAGTTCACATGCACATTTATACAAATGTAAAGCTAAACATGCAAGCGCAGGTATATATAGACCACAGTATAAACAAGGTCAAGAAGTGAGCAAGTGAGGCAAAGTAGGCACAAGGCCTAACAGAGTACAGAAGCGCTGATGATCACAAGGCAGGAGTGCCTTGGTGAAGACATCAGCAGTGTTGGCCTGAGAGGCCACGTAAGCAAGTCGTAGCTGACCACGCTGCTGCAGCTCACGAGCAAGGAAGTAGTGAAGAGCAATGTGCTTCGTTTTGTGCTCCAGTCTGTGCTCCCGACACAAGGCCAGCATGGCCTTGTTGTCTACGTACAGAACTGGAGGAGAACGAGGCGGCTCTCCAAGGTCAGTCAGCAGGTAGGTGAGCCAGCGTAACTCCTGTGCAGCCATGGCCCCCGCGTAGATCTCAGCCTCACAGCTGGAGCTGAGAACAGAAGACGAGCGGGTAGACCGCCACGAAACAGAACCGGAACCAAGGCTGAAGGTATAACCCTGTGACGACCGCTGCGTAGCCAAGTCGTCAACCCAAGACGCGTCTGCGTGACCAGTGAGGACCACTGGACTCCGCCCTCCAAGCACTAGCCCCATGCCCGACGTACTGCACAAGTAGCGCAACACCCTCTTCGCTGCAGCCATGTGCTCTGGTCGGTGTCTCCCAGGAGCAACATAGCGTGCCAAGATGCTAAGAGGGTATGCAAGGTCAGGTCGTGTGCAGGTTATCAGGTATATGAGGCAGCCAACAAGCTCTGGGTACGGGCCACTCGGCTCTACGGACTCATCCGAAGGCAGAGCTGAGAGCGAGTGGCGAGTAGACAGAGGAGTGGCCTGAGGCGAGGAGTACGTGTATGATCGGGGCACCCAGTCAGCTCCAGCCATTTGAGCTTCTCAAGGTTGTCCAGCCTTCTGGGAACCGAGACGAGCTTCAAACATTCATCAACTGTAAGGGTTGCAAGGCTCGAGAGGCTTGTGAGGGACTCTGGAAGCCGCTGAATCCGAGGGCAGGAGCGAATGTACAACTCCTGCAGGTTAGTGAGGTTCCCCAAGTCTTTGGGAAGCTCTTGAATCGTGCACATGGCCAGTTCAAGCCTGGTCAATGAAGTCAGCTGGGTGAAGGACAGTGGCAGTCGCGGCTGCTGATTCTGACCGTTCAAGTAGAGTGTGTGCAGCCTTGAGAGCTCACCAATGTTCTCCGGCAGCCTCACCCGAGGCATCTTCACAGTCGCGAGGGTTTGGAGTGACGTGAGGTAGCAGAAAGCTTCGAGCAGCTGGAGTAGGTGCGGCCTGGTAGTACATTCAACAAGAACCATCGTCTCGAGGGAAGGCAGGTGGCAGAGGGAGTCCGGGAGGGCCACGAGTGGCAGATTGTTCAGCACGAGGGTCTTCAGGGCATGCAGGCATCGGATATCGTCCAGCAGGTCGTAATAACCCAAAATTTTGAGTCTTTGGTAACATTTAGTAAGGGTCAAGCTCTCCAAGAGAGTTAGAGAAGCGAAGCTTAGATAGATTGGCCTAGGGTCATAATGCCGCAGACTCTGGCGAATTGTCAGCTTGCGGAGACTCGGTATCAGATCTCCGATTTGAAAGGTCGGAGTGTCGGAATCAGGACCCTCCATTTCAATCTCGAGCCGTTCTAGGGCGGCACACGGGACCACCTGCCTGAACCTTGACGACTTAAGCAGAGCCAGTTGCGTTGTGTCTAAGTCGGCAAACACCACGGAAGACGGCTTGAGCAGAGGCAGCTGTGCTATGTCGACGTCTGCAGAGACCAGGGAATTGTGGTCAAATGCCACGGCTTCATCTGAGCTTGAGAAGGCGGTGATGCGTGAGAGGCGAACGATGTTTGCCACTCGTTTTAAGAGATATCTGGAGGCAAGGTGCAGGCTGGTGAGCGACGTAAGCTTAGCAAATTTGGGAGTTCGAGAGTGTGCAGATGCGGCAGCTGAAAGAAGGAAGTGGGGAATTCGACACAACGATCGAGGCAGTAAAGTGAAAGCTGCTCCAGCCGAGTGCAGTGCCGGAAAAAGAAATCCAGGCCAGCGGTTGTTTTAGGTTGCGCGTCCTTCTCACATTTACCGGCATAAAAATCTTTATACTTCACATGCGCGATTCTGGTTCCGACATGACGACGCGAGGTGAGCGAGGAAGGCGTCGTCGAGAGTCTCGACGCTGCCGTCGCAGAGGTGAAGACGGGTCAGGTTCGGTAAGGCAGCAACAGCACTCGCGAGAGCCTGGCGAGACACGGCGAGATTGTCTCGGACGAGAAGCGCGGAGACGCAACGCTGAGTCAGACCGCGCCAGCGACGGCAGACGGCCGCGACGAGGAGAATACGGTGCGCGTCCGCAAATGGAGGAGGAATGGGTAACGGGGTTTTCTTCCCCTCACGAATGGTCTTCTCGAATGAAAGGTTTGCGGAGAGGTACTTCGGGGTGGGAATTCAAGGGTTGGAGTCCCACAAGCAGTCGCTGCCCGTTTGTATAGGAATCGGCCGCTCAGAGTGCCAAAATATATTGGTAAGAATGTCATCAGGAAGGTCATGGATGTGCGTGAGTGGCTCCATGATGGTCAAGGTGGGAGACTGATCACTGCAGAAATGCTACGTTGAAACTAGAATTCTACATATGAGACTGAAGATTGCAGGATTGTCTATGAGCCTCACAGATACCTCTACTGCGGTATTTAATACGAGCAGACATGAGAAAGGTCTACCAGCAATGGCACGATGGTGTAATGCCTGACTGGATCACTGACTCCTTTCTAGCGGGTAGCATGTGCCATGGATGACACTGGAGAGGAACGGAATGGGACAGGGTCACTCCACAGAGAACCACTGGCGTGGAGACCAAGGCGTTCGCCGAACCAGGTGGAGCAGGCTCACCCAACCGCCGACCAGATTCAGCCCAGGTTCACGAACCCAGTTTCGTACACATTCTAGAGAAGTCGCCCCACATACCATATTTCTCGCCCATATTTCTTCTCGCTATATTTCTCGCTGTACTCCCCAGAACGCAGGACCAGACCAGACCCTATGTTGTTATATCCAGGCTTTGTACACCTAACACTTGGTTCTTGAAACAAGAATTGTATCAATCATGTGACTATTCGCATGAAGCGTAGGATGTATCTTGGTAAGGCAAACGGCGCCTTGCTATCAAATACATGCCCCGACTATAAACAAATAATACAATGGCTCAGAAACCTACCAGTAAAGCAAGGTTGTTTCCAACAGTCCTCTCCCCATCCGCCAACTTTTCCCCTTGGAAAAATTAAACCTGCTATTCCTTTTCCATGTCCGTGCCACCCTCCCCATTTGCCGGAGGAAGCAGCTCTGCTCTGGGCTCAGGGGCAGGAACAGTCTTAATCACCCTACAGGGGTTCCCCACCGCCACACAACAGTCCGGAATATCCTTGGTCACCACACTTCCAGCACCAATAGTCGTGTGCGACCCAATGCTAACCCCAGGGCACACAATCACCCCCCCGCCGAGCCACACATTGGAGCCTATGGTGATGGCGTGTGCGGTTTCCACTCCCGTGAGCCGCGTGGCGGGGTGCGTGGGGTGCGCTGCCGTGTAGAGCTGCACGTAGGGGCCAAAGAGGACGTCGTCGCCGATGGTGATGCGGTTGCAGTCCAGCAGCACGCACCCAAAGTTCATGTACACGTTGCGGCCTGCCGGTGGTGGGGGGCGTGCGTGGATGGGGATCAGTGGAAGGGCGCACGGGTAAGATGGAGGGATTGAGAAAACGGAGCGGGAAGGGAATGAAGGGAGGTGGGAGAGGAAAGGTAGCCTACCTGAGGCCTTGCATGAAGAATCAGGCGAAAAGCGGGGGTTGGGATATGTTGATGGAATCCGAAAGGATGGTGGGAGTGCGCGCATCATGATGCGCGTTAGGCGTGATGGCATGTGAGAGCGCGCCCATGCGCGAAACAGGGTGACATGACGTCCGTCACTGACCCACTGTGATATGGCAACCATAGTCGCAGAGAAAGGGCGACGTGATGAAGAGGTTTTCGCCCGCCTCGCCCAGCAGCTCGTACGACAGCTTGCGTCGCTTCTCCACCTCGCCCGCCGGCGTCGCATTCAGCGCCGACGTTCGCTGCGTCGCCAGCTGTCGCAACTCCACTAGTGGCGGGTCCCTGCAGTGTCGGGACACATGAGGAATATGCTACCTTTAATCGGCCCATTTCGCGCACACTTGGAGCAAATCAAGCGACGTGGTGCGAGACCCACCATGAGTTGTACGGCTCTCCCGATAGCATCTTCTCCATCTCCGTCGTTCCTCGCGTCGCCTCATCGCCCATCACGAGGATGATGCGCTGGAGTGTGAAACGGCCTGTGGATTCGCCTAATATCGGACGGAGAAAATCGAGGTTGTGAATGTCACCGCTCGCTGAGTAGTAGTGAGCGGCTCAGAGTGACGGATGCAGATTCGGGATGCAAAATGCTAGGATGATGAGGCGAATGCAGGAATGACATAGATAGAAGAAATCCATGCATGTGTACACATCTCGAAGTGGTGGGATTTTCAACCTTGATCGAAAGCTTCCCTGAATGGTAGGAAACATCTGATCATGTGCATCGGGGATGCTGATTGAACCAAAAACTGAACACAACAGTCTCACGGCTGGGATGGGAACACGAGTTCACCTTGATTCACCTCCCGCCATTTTCAAGGGATTGGATTAGCCTAGCGAAGTTTCACGAGCAGCAATGCCCACAGACAGGTTGCCTTCCTTGATGACCAGTGCGTGCAGGTAACCTCGCAGCATTCGCTCTGGGCTTGCATCGCCGTCCATTCGCAATTTTTTTTTTTGGGTTGCGAAACAACCTATTACGATCGATTTGGTCAGTTTTTTTTTTCGCATTTTTCCATTTAATATTTATTTAAAACGTAAAATTGTGAAAGAAAAACTGGATGTACTTTTTGCTATGCACGTAACATGTACGAGGTCCTGTCTGGTTCAGTTATACTACTGTAGTGGTAGTGACTTTTTGGACAACTAGGTTGTTTCTGTGATTTACTTTGTTGTAACTGACTGCCGTATAATATGTACATAATATGAGAGAATAAATATAATGATTGGTGAACGTAGATGAATATAATGATGTTATGTTAAATGCAATATATTATTAAAGATATGATATGATAGATGATAAATGCATGCATGCTTTATGTTTAATACGAATAATGCTTACCTGTTACTGACAATTCATGACCATGATGCTAATAATGATAAAAATGTGTAAAAGCTAACGACCCAAAAACTATGCTATCGCATCCCTTGCTTAGCATGGGGGGGAGCTAATAGCATAATCCTTGAATAATCAGCAGTCACATGACACAACACAATCTGTGAACTCTAAAAAGATTATCAACTTTATCATCTCCAGTTCAAGTGGGCTCCCGACAGGCGCGCCAATGAACCTTCTAATGAAATGATAGACCTGATTCACCTTTTTAAAACTCACAGACATGCATTGTTAATGAAATGTATATACATGCACACAAGCAACATCATCATACAAACACGATGATGATCAATCTCAAAAGAAAGTGCAGTAGAAAGGAAAAAAAAAAAATCACAAGAACCGAAACAAGAGCAAAAGCAAATTGTCTAGTCTATCTTCGACCCATACTGTCATAATAACATGTTTACCATGGATCAAGATAATACATCTCTTGATTACGGACGAGCTTCACTGGTCTTGGGCTTCATAAATGCTGTAACGGATTGAAAGTTCAAACATAAAATGATAACCATTAAATCATATAATAGAAATATATAAGAATGTACATATAAAACGAATAATGAAGCTCATAAAATATAATCATTCGACGTACGTCAAACCTCCTTTTTGTAGGTGTTGAAGATGGCTGGGTGCTCGACGTGTCAAAGTTGACGGGAGAGTCCTTCGACTGCGTGACACCCGTTACATCAAGAATGGTCTTGATGACGCGGTCTCCCTCAAGACCAAAATGAATCTGTCAAGACAAAAAAAAGATGTGAAAGTGGGAAGAGAGAAGAAGTGAAGAATTTATTGGGAGAAATTGATAAAGAAAAGAGGGTTTTTGTTACAAAGGATGTCAAAGTATATGTGCTGTAGTCTTTGTAGGATATAGTGGGGTAGATACTATAGGGTACAACACTTTTAGGTTTCATATTTGTACCCATCTGTTTCATAGTCACATCATTCCTCGTTCTAAACTTTACATGGTATAGAGCAGATTCCCTAGTGGGAACGCTTCCTAGGGCCCACCACTGAAAATCGATAATTTTTTTTTCTGCCCGGAGCACGAGTCGCCCCTGCCTGAAGCGCGCCCCGTGGGCCGCCCTTTCGTCGCGTCCCCTGCCCTTAGCGGCCCGTCGCGCCCTCTTAGAGGCCCCTCTTACGGCCCCTCGCGTCCCCTTAGCGGCCCCGTCGGCGCTCTTAACGGCCCCGTCGCCGCCCTTAGCGGCCCCGTCGCCGCCCCTTACGGCCCCGTCGCCGCCCGTAGCGGCCCCGTCGCCGCCCGTAGCGGCCCCGTCGCCGCCCGTAGCGGCCCCGTCGCCGCCCTTAGCGACCCCGTAGCCGCCCCTCGCGGCCCCGTCGCCGCCCGTAGCGGCCCCGTCGCCGCCCGTAGCGGCCTCGTCGCCACCCGTAGCGGCCCCGTCGCCACCCTTAGCGGCCCCGACGCCGCCCGTAGCGGCCCCGTCGCACCCTTCGCGGCCCTGTCGCCGCCCCTCGTGGCCCCGTCGCCGCCCGTAGCGGCCCCGTCGCCGCCCTTAGCGGCCCTATTGCCGCCCTTAACGGCCCCGTCGCCGCCCCTCGCGGCCCTGTCGCCAACCCTCACGGCCCCGTCGCCGCCCGTAGCGGCCCCGTCGCCGCCCGTAGCGGCCCCGTCGCCGCCCTTAGCGGCCCCGTCGCCGCACCTCACGGCCCCGTCGCCGCCCTTTGCGGCCCCGTCGCCGCCCTTAGCGGCCCCGTCGCCGCCCCAAGCGGCCCCTGTCGCCGCCCTTAGCGGCCCCGTCGCCGCCCTTCGCGGCCCCGTTGCGGCCTCTTCGCGGCCCCGTCGCCGCCCTTCGCAGCCTCCTCTCGGCCCCTCGTGGCCCCTCCCCGGCCCCAGCAGCAGCAGCGGCCACTTCTGTCGTGCAGCCGCCGCCGCTGCCGACTACAGCCGCAGCCACTTCCGGCCACCGCCGCCGCCGTCGCCGCCGCAGCTGCCGCCCTGGCCCTGCCGCCGCCGCAGCCGCCGCCGTCGAGCCGCAGCCGCCGCCGTCGAGCCGCAGCCGTCGCCGCCGTCGAGCCGCCGCTGCTGTCGAGCCGCCGCCGCCGCAGAGCCGCTGCCGTCGTGCCGCCGCCGCAGCCGAGCCGCCGCCGCCGTCGTACCGCCGCCGTTGAGCCGCAGCTGCAGCTGCCGCCGCCGCCACAGCGGAGGCACGCCGTTGCTGCAGTCGCGGCCCTGTCCCTGCCGGCGCGCCTCGGACCTTCCCACCCGCCTGGTAAGAGCACTCCCGAGCAGAGCCTCTGCCACTACGCTGCACCTAGCCTACTGCTCTCACCCCTAGCCTACTGCTGTCATGGCTACCCCTAGTGTTCTTACCTTTGATGCTGAGGGTCGGGTTGTCGACTTTGAGGTCTGGGTCGTTGATCTGCAGCTTTTCCTACAGTGCGTTAGGACAGACGGTCTCTCCCTGTTTGACCTCACGTCTGGTGCCTCTCCTGCCCCTGCTGCTGATGCTGACAGCACTGTTCGCTCACAGTGGGCCACACGCGATGCTGCTGCCCGTCTTGCTGTGCGCCGTCACTTACCGACCACTGATCGTGCGCATTTTAGTCAGTACAAGAGTGCTAAGACCTTATACGACGCTGTAGTTGCACGCTACTCTTCCCTTGCCACTGCTGCCCTTAGCCGCCTCATGCTGCCGTACCTGTTCCCTGACCTCGCCGCTTTTCCCACAGCCGCTGACCTCATTACGCACCTTCGCACTAGTGACACCCGCTACCGCGCTGCGCTTCCAGCCGAGTTCTGCGCCAAGAACCCCCCCCCCCATGTACATCACCCTCTACTACATAGTCACCCGGCTCCCTGACTCCCTTCGCTCGGTCAGGGACCACTTCCTTTCTGTTTGCCCCACCACTCTCACCGTTGACCTCCTCGAGGAGCGCCTCCTGGCAGCTGAGAAGAGTATAGTTGCTGTAGGAGCCTCTCGTGGTGACCCTCGTACCCCCCTCTTTGAGGGGTGTTCCCCATCCCCCCTCTTGCCCTCTGTTGCCTCTGCTGCTGCGGCCGACCTCGATGGCCTCGAGTCGGTCGGAGCTGCGTCTGCCCCTAGCGGGAGACGCCGCACTGGCAAGGCCAAGGGGGACAAGGGCGCTGGAGGAGCTGGCGGGGGCGGTGGAGGTGGCGGTGGAGGCGGTGGAGGGGGTGGGGGTGGTGGTGCGGGTGGTGGCGGGAGTGGGGGCGTCGGTGGCGGCAATGGAGGCGGTGGAGGCGGCGGCGGTGGCGGTGGGAGCGCAGGAGTTGGCGGTGGCGATGGTGGTGGAGGTGGCGGCGGCGGCGGTGGCGCTGGTCGGGGTGGCTCTGCGCCGAGGGGCGGCTCCGGTGGTGGTCAGCGCCAGCAGCAGCAGCAGCGCGCTCGTGAGACCCAGTCCCCCCAGCAGCTTTGTGAGTAGTACGCTGCGCGTCACCGGGGTGGGGGTGCTGGTCCCTGCACCTATATCCTGCGTACCGGCGACCGTACTAGTGAGACGTGCGGTGGCCAGCACGCCACCCAGCACTGCTTCGGCCGCCTGACAGACGCTTGGCGTCTCCAAATAGGTGAGCCAGCGTAGCTCCTGTGCAGCCATGGCCCCTGCGTAGATCTCAGCCTCACAGCTGGAGCTGAGAACAGAAGACGAGTGGGTAGACTGCCACGAAACAGAACCGGAACCAAGGCTGAAGGTATAACCCTGTGACGACCGCTGCGTAGCCAAGTCGTCAACCCAAGAAGCGTCTGCGTGACCAGTGAGGACCACTGGACTCCGCCCTCCAAGCACGAGCCCATGCCTGAAGTACTGCACAAGTAGCGCAACACCCTCTTTGCTGCAGCCATGTGCTCTGGTCGGTGTCTCCCAGGAGCAACATTGCGTGCCAAGATGCTAAGAGGGTATGCAAGGTCAGGTCGAGTGCAGGTCATCAGGTACATGAGGCAGCCAACAAGCTCTGGGTACGGGCCACTCGGCTCTACGGACTCATCCGAAGGCAGAGCTGAGAGCGAGTGGCGAGTAGACAGAGGAGTGGCCTGAGGCGAGGAGTACGTGAAGCCGAAGCGCTGAAGGACCTGCTGCACCATGTGTGACTGAGTCAGGGTAATGGTGCGCTGTGCTCTGTCCCGAGTGATCTGCAAGCCAAGGAAGCTGCGCAGTTCACCTAGGTCTGTGCACGTGTATCTCTTCTGCAACTCGGACTTCACATGGGCGAGTTTAGCAATGTCAGCTGTGGCAAAGACCAAGTCGTCGACGTACACGAGGATGTAGAACGGCGGCAAAGAGGTGTCGGTGCGCAGAAACAGCGACGGGTCGGCAGTAGAAGGAGCAAACCTAAGAGCCGCAAGTGTAGTCCTCAGTGTGTCGTGCCACTCACGAGGCGCCTGGCGGAGACCATAGACTGGCCGCCGGAGGCTCCACTGGGTACCAGGAGGAAACGACCCAGTGAAGCCAGGTGGGCGGCGCAGCCAGATCTCCTTGTGCAGGCTGCCCTGCAGAAAAGCAGTGATGAAGTCAAGAGAGTGAAGCTAGTAGTCGCGCTGAGCGGCTATGTGCAGTAGCACCCGAAGAATGGTCATCTTTGGGGTGGGAGAGAAGGTCTGAAAGTAGTCAACTCCCTACCGCTGACTGAAGCCTCGAGCCACGTAACGTGCCTTGAAGACAGGCGGAGAACCCGGTGGCCGCTTCACCCTGAAAATCAACATGCCACTGACGATCTTCGCCCCAGGTGGGGGAACCTCGTTGACGTAGGTGCCTGTGGACTTCCAGGAAGCCATCTCTGCGTCCATGGCTGCCTGCCACTGAGAGGAGTAGGGACCCTCAACCGCCTCTGCGTAAGAGCGCGGAGTCGGGATGTCTGATGCATCCGGGTCTCCCTCAGGGGCAAGCAGCATGGATATGAGATGAGGTGAAGCAGCGGCAAAACACTGGAACTCCTCCTGCCTGCTCTCAAGGACGTCCGTGCCAAGGGCGCACTCACCCCCGACGGACGGAGGACAGACAGAATCAGACTCAGCAACAAGACTAGCGACGTAGTCTAGACGACATCGAGCAGCGAAGTTGACAAGCTCAGCAACTAGGGCAGACGCAGCAGTGGACTCAAAGGAAGGGTCAGTGACAACATTAGCAAGGAGACGCGTGACAGTAGGACTGGCAGCACGAAGGGAGTCCGACTCCGGGTCAGAAAGAGCAGGAAGAGAGGACTCTGGAGGAGACGGCAAAGGGACACGCAGCGGAGCAGTGGAAGGACGCAGAGACATCCGGTGCGTACCGGGAACAGGAGGAGGACGCTGACGCGAACCACGACTGCCAGTGCGAGCAGCATGGACAGGCGACGCAGGACGAGACGTAGGCTCACGACGCTCAGCAAGACCTCCAGTAGGACCAGTGTAGGGAGAAGGAGCAGGCAGAGGGGAGGCGGGATGTAACTGTGACTCAGACAGGATAGGCGGTGGACACTCTAAGGGAGGAGCAGGACTAGAAGAGGGCAGAGGACCAAGAACCTGCTCAAGGAGCGGAACGAAGTACGGCCGCGGCCGTGCAGCGCCCCCAGAACCAGCAGGAACAGCACCAGCACCCCCAACGGCAGCACTAGCTCCAGTAGCACCCCCAGCTCCAGCAGCGCCAGCAGCTCCAGCACCAGCACCCCCAACGGCAGCACCAGCTCCAGTAGCACCCCCAGCTCTAGCCGCCCCAGCAGCACCAGCTCCAGCAGCGCCAACACCAGCACCCTCAGAAGCACCAGCACCAGCAGCACCTCCAGCGCCAACACCCCCAGCAGCTCCAGCTCCAACTCCAGCACCGCCAGCAGCTCCAGCACAAGGAGCACCCGCAGGCCCAGCAGCTCCAGTACCACCAGTACGAGCACCTCCAGGACCCGTGGCACCAGCTCCCTCAGCAGCAGTAGAACCCCCAACACCAGCAGCACATCCAGCTCTAGCAGCACAGCAAATATGAAACCCTAGAATTGTGTACCCCTTAGTATCTAACCCGCTACCGCCTACACAGGCCAGATCATATAAGTCTGACAGCCCGTACCCAGAGCTTGTTGGCTGCCTCATGTACCTGATGACCTGCACTCGACCTGACCTTGCATACCCTCTTATCATCTTGGCACGCTATGTTGCTCCTAGGAGACACCGACCAGAGCACATGGCTGCAGCGAAGAGGGTGTTGCGCTACTTGTGCAGTACTTCGGGCATGGGGCTTGTGCTTGGAGGGCGGAGTTCAGTGGTCCTCAGTGGTCACGCAGACGCGTCTTGGGTTGACGACTTGGCTACGCAGCGGTCGTCACAGGGTTACACCTTCAGCCTTGGTTCCGGTTTTGTTTCGTGGCGGTTTACCCGCTCGTCTTCTGTTCTCAGCTCTAGCTGTGAGGCTGAGATCTACGTGTCAGAAACATAGGCATAACGAGGAGCCATAGCTAGGTAAGCCCTAGCTAGGCAAGAGAAAGTTAAGCAAAGGAGAAGGGGTTTCACTAGCAGCAATGAGGATACATATAGCAAACCCTAGATGGGTTTAGGGTTTAGAGCACCCCACTACAGGCTAGATTATAACATTCTGACACACCCCCATAGCCAAAGTGGGGTGTAATCAGCACAATGAGCAGGTATAGAGCAAGAGTTCACAATAGTAAGCAAAGCTAGAGTTAATCACAGCGGGCAAGTGAGGTGGAGGAGGAACTGTGGAGGGAGAGAAGATGGGAGGCAACGAATGAAGCTGCAGAGGCACGGGCACAGGAGCGGCTGACTCAGAGGCTACCGAAGCAAGGGCGACGGACTACTGGAGTGACTGGCTCCGCGGCTATAGACGAGCGGCAGGAGCAACGGACCCACTGGCGACTGGTGCAGCAGGCTCACTGGCTACCGAAGCAAGGGCGACGGACTACAGGCGCTACAGGCGACACGACAGCTACCTCCACACAACCTCCTCCAACTGCCCCACACCCTCGACACACACCCCCTGCTCAAACCCTAGCTCTACTACCACGGCACCCCCCTTAAACCCTAAACCCCAGACTCCCACACATCCACCCCCCTCAGCGACAGCTGCAGCAGTGGGAGACGAAGGAGGAGGAGGAGAAGGGAACGGCGCACACAACCGACACCCCCACAACCGCCACCCCACACTCCTCATCCCCAAAACCCTAAAACGGGTGGGACGGGGCAGGAGCGCGGGGAACGGCGAGGGGGACGGCGCACGACCCCTGGGCGCCAAAACGGACGGGCGGGGGGGGGAAGGGGCGCGCGGCTCCCCAGGGCGCCGGGACGGACGGGCAGGGGGCGCGCGCGGCTCCCCAAGGCGCCGCGACGGACGAGCAGGAGGGGGGGGAGGGGCGCGCGGCTCCCCAGGGCGCCGCGACGGACGGGCAGGGGGCGCGCGCGGCTCCCCAGGGCGCCGCGACGAGCAGGGCGGGGGCCGCGCGTGCTCCCTAGGGCGCCGCGACGAACGGGTGGGGGCCGCACGTGCTCCCCAGGGCGCCGTGACGAGCAGGGTGGGGGGCCGCGCATGCTCCCCAGGGCGCCGCGACGGACGGGCGGGGCGCTCGCGGGCTCCCCAGGGCGCCGCGACGAACGGGCGGGGCGCGCGCGGGCTCCTCAGGGCGCCGCGACGAACAAGCAGGGCGCGCGCGGGCTCCTCCACGGCAGGAAACCGCCGCGCGCCTCGGGGCGCACGGCGGACAGAAAACCACCGCACGCCCCGAGCGCGCGGCGAGATGAAAAGGTGAAGGTCGCGCGCTCCGGGGCGCGTGACACAGAGTAGGGCAGCAGAAGCAGGAGGGCCTACAGGCCAGTAGCGTAACTGCTCTGATTCCATGTGAGAAACATAGGTATAACGAGGAGCCATAGCTAGGTAAGCCCTAGCTAGGCAAGAGAAAGTTAAACAAAGGAGAAGGGGTTTCACTAGCAGCAATGAGGATACATATAGCAAACCCTAGATGAGTTGTACGCGCTATAGAGCACCCCACTACAGGCTAGATGATAACATTCTGACACTACGCGGGGGCCATGGCTGCACAGGAGTTACGCTGGCTCACCTACCTGCTGACTGACCTTGGAGAGCCGCCTCGTTCTCCTCCAGTACTGTACGTAGACAACAAGGCCATGCTGGCCTTGTGTCGGGAGCACAGACTTGAGCACAGAACGAAGCACATTGCTCTTCTCTACTTCCTTGCTCGTGAGCTGCAGCAGCGTGGTCAGCTACGACTTGCTTACGTGGCCTCTCAGGCCAACACTGCTGATGTCTTCACCAAGGCACTCGCGCCTTGTGATCATCAGCGCTTCTGTACTCTGTTAGGCCTTGTGCCTACTTTGCCTCACTTGCTCACTTCTTGACCTTGTTTGTACTGTGGTCTATATATGCCTGCACTTGCATGTTTAGCTTTATATTTATATAAACCTGCATGTGAACTGGCGTTGTGGCCTTTGAACTTGTGCTCGGAATGTGTGGTGACGTTGTGATCCACCTTGAGCTTGCTGTGTTTTGTTTGACTGGTCTTGTGACCACTTGTTCTCCCCCATTTTGCCTATGGGGGTGTGTCAAAATATATGTGCTGTAGTCTTTGTAGGCTATAGTGGGGTATTCACAAGACACAAATGAAAGAGAAAGCTTGAAGGAACCAAAAAAAATGTATATTAGCATCTATATTATAAAATTTTAACTGTACTTTGAAGAATTCTTCGGGTTTCAATTTAGAGAAGAAAATGCCAAACATCTTGATTTATTGACAATATCACTAGATTAATCATGAATCACAAACTATAGAAATACTTGATACTTAACTTTCACAATGACACACAATCTATAGAAATACTTGATACTTTATTGATAGAAATGAACTTGTTATATGTTTTGATTATAAATCATTAGAATTGTGTTCAGAAATTCTTAAATGCTGTTGACAATTTACAGCTGTAACAGTTGTACAACTGTTTGTGCTGTTTCAAGTTGAAAATTGTTTTCGTTTTACACTTACAGTCAAGATATAGGACAAATAAATCAATTGAGCAACCACTGTCGGAACTAAAAACAACCGAGCAACAACTGTCATAACAAAACGACATCAAGAACAACATGAAGCTGAGGACCAAGGCACTGTATACAGTTTTCGAAACCCCCCTTTCTCGCGCCACCCCCCTCCACATTTTCCAGCGCGAGAAAAATAACGTTGACACGTAGGCAGCGTCGTACGAGAATTCCATTGAATTTCGGTCGTCGCTGCTGACGCCAGCAAGCTTTCTCGCGCGTGAAATTTCTTCTGACGTCAGCAGTGACGTCCGAAATTTCACGAAAATTACGCTACGACGCTGATGACGTCATCCACGCCGTTGAAAATCTCGCGCGAATTTTCACAGCTGATGACGTCACCGCGAAGAATCTGATGTCAGCACTTTGCTTGTTAAAGTTTACCTGTTACATCAGCGTCGTTGCTAATTATACATTAACAAACAATTGAGAACTGTAAAAAAAAAAAAAAAAAAAAAACAAACCTACAACTACTCGTGAAAACGTTTGTACTGATGTATAATTGTCGGCCCAACCACGGAATACTCAAAATAAATTAAAACATTTATGAACACATGATTTTCATAAAAACATATAATTGGCTTTTTTTAAGTAATCCAAGTAACAAAGTCAGCAAATTTGTTTTTTCCTTTTAAATCGCATGTTACAATTGTTGCTTCGCAACCCTAAGACGATTTCGTCGCAACCTATTACAATCGTTATGTCAGAATGTTTACACTTGCTAGGTTGAGATCAGTGTCTTGCTTGTTCACCTTGCTTTATAATCCTGCCTGTGAACTGGCCTTGTAGCCTTGAACTGGTTCTCAGAATGTGTGGTGACGTTGTGATCCACCCTGAGCTTGATCTTGCCTTGTTCTGTTGCTTGTCCCCCACTTTGCCTATGGGGGTGTGTCAGAACTACATAGTAGGCTGCAGTGGGGTAGACAATATGGGGTACAACTCCTTTAGGTTTTCATACTTGTACCTGTCAGAATGTTATTATCTAGCCTGTAGTGGGATGCTCTATAGCGGGTACAACCCAGTTAGGGTTTGCTATATGTATCCCAACTACTGCTAGTGAACCCTCTCCTTTGCCTATCTTTCTCTTGCCTAGCTAGGACTTACCTAGCTATGGCTCTTTGTTCTGCTCGTCATTCTCACATGGTATCAGAGCGGTTACGCTCCTGGCCTGTGGGCCCATCTACTGAGAAGAAACGAGGAATGGAATGACTAAGGGAAAGTTGGGTACAAAATGCAAACCCTAGAAAACTGTACCCCATATGTGCTACCCCACTATAGCCTACAGTAGCTCTATCATATAAATCTGACACACCCCCATAGGCAAAGTGGGGGAGAACAAGGGGTCACAAGACCAGTCAAGCAAAGCAAAGCAAGCTCAGGGTGGATCACAAAGTCACCACACATTCCGAGCACAGGTTCAAGGCCACAAGGCCAGTTCACATGCAGGATTACATATATATATATAAGGCTAGACAAGCAAGAGCAGGTGTATATATATATGCAACAGTACAAACAAGGTCAAGGGGTGAGCAAGTGAGGCAAGGTAGGCACAAGGCCCAGCTGAGTACAGAAACGCTGATGATCACAAGGCGCAAGTGCCTTGGTGAAGATATCAGCAGTGTTGGCCTGAGAGGCCACGTACGCAAGCCGCAGCTGACCACGCTGCTGTAGCTCACGAGCAAGGAAGTAGCGGAGAGCAATGTGCTTCGTTCTGTGCTCCAGTCTCTGCTCTCGACACAAGGCCAGCATGGCCTTGTTGTCTACGTACAGCACTGGAGGAGAACGAGGCGGCTCTCCGAGGTCAGTCAGCAGGTAGGTGAGCCAGCGAAGCTCCTGTGCAGCCATGGCCCCGGCGTAGATCTCAGCCTCACAACTGGAGCCGAGAACAGAAGACGAGCGGGTAGCCCGCCACGAAACAGAGCCGGAACCAAGGCTGAAGGTGTAACCCTGTGACGACCGCTGCGTAGCCTGGTCGTCAGCCCAAGAAGCGTCTGCGTGCCCAGTGAGGACCACTGGACTCTGCCCTCCAAGCACAAGCCCCATGCCCGACGTACTGCACAAGTAACGCAA